CGTACGAAACCTAACCATCCTTGAGCCCGAGGAAGTGAAAGAACCTAGGCCAAGAGGAGGTTCCTTGCTTGGCCGATCAATTCTTTGATCAAAAGTTAGAAGCGCAACACATCCATCTACTCACATTCCATTCGAGCCCAAATTCGGGGCTTGATGGTGGCACGCCCCGCATCCAAAAGAAGAAGGACCAAAGACTCCTTCAATCGGCCTACCCGGCCGAAAAGAGGGAAACATAATTTGGCACACCCAATGGGACACAATCTATGAGTGACCGAAAGGAATGGCAACATTCCTATCAGCCGATGAACTACAACGACTATGATTTTTATGGCTCGAATAGCCAATCCATTGGCCAATACTATGGTCAATATAATTTTACCCATCAAGGTGGGCCTAACAACCAATATGGCTCAAGTAGTCAATTTAGTGGCCAATATGATGGGCACAACTATGTTGGAGGATTTAGTGACCAATATGGCGGGCACAACTATATTGGCGGATATGATCTTATGAACCAAAATGGTTCAAATGATCAAAATGGCTTCGGTGGTCAAACCAATCGAGGTGGCTATAACGGCCAACACGATTCTACATATCAATATAGCTCTGGTATCCAATTCAATGGCCAACATGGCGGAAACAACAATCATGGCCAAAATAATATGATATATCAAAATTATGTGAATGGCCAACATGGCTATAATGGCCAGTACAATCAGGTGCCCGGATGGCAATACACTTACCCAGATGGCCAAAATAATCCGGCCAATATTTATGATCAACCTAGTTATGGCTCCCACCAAACGAATTATCCTAATGGCTATGATGGCCAAAATGTTCTTAGCGTAAGTGGGAGGCCATATGTTGACCGCATGGACAAAGAACATCAAAATTTCATAAAGGAAATATCTGAAGTGAAAGATTTATTTATGGAGATGGCAGTTTCCAACGAACTTTTGATCCAACATTTGCGTGAAATCTCCTTGCGACTTGCAATCGAAGAGCAACTTCTTAGCCAACAAGCCGAGGGCAAACTCTCAACCCCAACCTTGATTCTTAGTCACAAGAGGAAAATTCTCATGTGGTTGCAAGTCGGCCACCCATTCCACCTACTCCTCTAAAGGAAAATGAGGTTGGTAGAGAATGTGAGAGTGAGAAAGAGTTGGGCGAGACGACCTTAAAATTGAATATTCAAGGCGACCTTCCTATTGAGAACTTGACAATGGTTGAGGAAAATAAGTTCATCCAAAGGGATGAGACCCAAAAGGTGGTCACCAATGAAAATTGCAATATGGTCCAACCCAAGGCAACCATCGTAGGATATAATGGCCTACAATCTAGTGAAAAAGAAGGGCGGAGCATGACCCAAGATGCAATAATGATAGACAAGATTGTAGGAGAAAAGCTCGACATTGTGAGACCACAATTGCAAGTGGTCAAGTTTATCGAGCCCCAGCCAAAGGCCAAGATTGGCCGACCAAGTGGACTTGGGGGGCATGAAGGGTCGGCCAAAGTGATGGCCAGAAGTCATCCGAGTCGTACTAGTCATCCTAGTATTTCAGCCCATCGCCAACAAAATGGCAAGATCCAAGTCGAGAAAAGAAGGGCTCCAAGCTTGGAGTAAAACATGGTTGGCCACCGCCATGGTCTCCATCAAAATTTTGTTCAACACGGCCACCTACTAGGTGATTGGTTCATAATTGTATATCATTTTGTACCCTTCTAGCTTATGATTTGGTTATGTTTTTGAGTTAAACTTATGCTTTTAATCATTTTTGTGTTTATCTTTCAGTTCATTGAGCTTTAGGTAACAATGATGGCTTTGGATAGGAAATGATGCAATCCATGCATGTTAAGGCCTGATTTGGGTGAATGGAAGAAGAGCTTAAAGACAAACTAATTTTGGCTACAAACCCTTGCCAGCCCAGTTTCGTAGGTCAACTTCTTGGCCTTGGATCAGCATGCTTTGGGGCTCGGATGAGGTGAAGATCTTCATGAAAGTTGTTCCAATGGGTGTGAACTATAACATATCCAAATTTCAGCCCAATTGAACATATCTGGAGTCCTTAGCCCGTCCAACACTGAACCCTGCTCAGGAGGATTTGCAGCTGCCAGCTTTTAGCCATGTGCCTCCTTTTAGCCATGTGCCTCACCCCAGCTATAACTGACTTTGTACCCAATATAATGAGTAAAGTAGGGAGGCATTCTAGCTATGAAAGTCTAAAGGAGCAAGTTGGTACATGCTGGAGCTATTAAAGAGAAGCATGTGCATGCATGTGAAGCAAAAAGAAAGAAATGAAATGAAATGA